CCCCAAAACCCCAAAACCCCAAAACCCCTATTTAGTGGAGAACTGTTGAACAATTTATTATATCAGACATACCAAGTTTCTGTATAAAATTGCTCTATTGCCATCAATGTAGTATTCATTGAGAGCTGCTTGCAGTCTGATATCAGCAGCAATGATGAGATCCTTCAGTTTTCCTCTTTGTTCAAGAGTGATCACATTCTCCTTATACATTCTTGATGCTAAGGCCAAGAGAATTCTAGTCTTTGGCCAGACTCTATTAGTCAAGAAATCCTGGGTCTGAGGATTTGAGAAATGGGAATTTCTGTAGCTAAAGAAAGAGCCTGAGGTATCAAAGTCTACTCTTTGGTCTACATAAAAGTGAGAATTTCCATCCAAATTATAAAAAATATTTGCATTTCGAGAAAGTAAATTACCATGATTAGAAGGGGTCTGTCTTGGTTTAAATTCGCTAAAATTGTCCTGGGGTTTATTCTCAGATAAACCTTTGACCATCTCAGTAAGTTTAGTTACTTCATTCTTAATATCAGAAATTTCATTGGGATCAGAGTTGAACCTACTAAGATTATCAAGAATTATTACCCTCTGAACTGCTCTGTGTTTGGTCTATGAACAGAGAAATATTCTTGGCTTTCGTCTAAAAATAAGTAATCTTAAGGCCTTACTGGCTAAAGTTTCAATACCAATTTGGGCTTGCTCAATCAGTTCTTTAGTATAAACTGCTTTGAGCATTCTCTGAATGTATCCATTTTCTCTCATCTTTTTGAATTCTTTCTTCAAGATTCTACACAGTGTCAGCACCAAGAGGAGCTATTGGCTTACTTTTTGAACAAGCTTTTGATTTGTTCAAGTCTTTTAGAAGGCTCATTTACACCATTGTAGTAGTTCATCAGCTGGTCAAAAGTAATGCATACCTCTGCTTTCTACAAAAACCGTTTATGATGTAGTTCAAATTATAAGATCTAACTAGATGTCTTTAATAGTTGTTCAACAACTTAGTGTATCCCAGAGGTATAGTAAACCATGTTATTTAAAAATTGGCTTACACTAGACTTAGGCAACCCTAAAGATTTCTTCAGATTTTTGAACTCTGTTTTCAAAATATCTTTAGTTAAGTTATTCTTTGACTTCTTGTAATCAGGGTCTACCTTCTTCATCATGGCCTTCATGAAGGAATTGAATGAGTTCTAGAGCATAATACAGGAGCTATACCTGGTTCGTGATGGTCTTGGTAGCCACCGAGTCTTCCAATTTCGAATAATATGCTTGTTCGGACATCTCCTTTTTATTAATAACTTTAAAATATAAATTATTTCCCCATGCTTTGGGGTTTTGGGGTTTTGGGGTTTTGGGGTTTTGGGGTTTTGGGG